AAGGTTGTACTGTGACAATTCAGCTACAGTATTTATGACTAAGAACGACAAGAGCAGAAGTCGAAGTAAACACATCGACATCAAATATTTAGCCATAAGAGAACGTGTTAAGGAAAAGAAAGTGGTCATTGAGCACGTTAGTACTGAGTTGATGATTGCCAATCCTTTAACTAAAGGCATGCCACCTAAGAATTTTAAGGATCGTGTAGTACGAATGGGACTTGGTTCTATGATGTGATTTTCGTTGTATGTACATTTATTGTTTCAATGAAACTCTTATTCAGTTTGATATTTTCCCATTTTGTTTTTGTGCACAATTTGTTTATTCATTTATTTATTTTGAGAAATATCATTAAAGTTTGGACCTCGAATAAACATATGGTTTATTCATTCAGTTATAAGGGATTGAGAGATATAATACGTTGTAATACATGGAAGGTAATACTCGTCATCATTAGAGGACATATCGCCATGATTCATGTGTTTTGTTTCTTACTATGTGATTTATGGAATATACGGACCGAGTGGGAGAATGTTAGTTTTCTTAGATGTGGTTCATGATATTCCACAAATCTTTGAACGTGGGTAACTACATCAACGGTTATGAAACCACTCACCCATTTCCTCGCTCAAAGAAAATGTCTTCTTGATGGATGAAGACATTATAAAGGCAGAGCAACCCCTTTTCAGAAGTCTCTAAGCCTGGTCTTCATTTTCAGAAAAAATTACACCATCAGTGAGAGAAGAGAAAGGATTAGAAGCCCTTTCGAAACCGAAACCAGAAATAGCAATAGCCGGAGGTATGTTCCTTTTTATGCTTCCGCTTAATCGATTTAAATGTGTTGATTAGGTTGAAAACATGTTTAAATCGAATATTATGACTCACATATTATACTATCGGTATTACTGTCAAGGAATGCACATGTAAGCTATAGAATTGCAAAGAATTGAATTTAGAGATGAGGAATTGAAGATGGTTAAAAACAAGTAGAGGAATAAAATAAAAGTTGAAATGTCAGTAACAAACAAAATAAACGGCAAAGAGAAAAAAGAAGTTAACTTAAATATGAGAAAAAAGAATAACAAACAAAATTGAAAGTCATAAATGTATTAAAAACTTCGTTTACGTTTTAAAGAATTAAATTTTTTTCTGAAATGTTTTTTATATATAATATTTGTTTGGGGACAAAGCTTGGCCATAGGCGATCACCTACCCTGCCTATTGTCAGGGATGATACTGAACTCAGTACAAATTTTTTATCCTCCACGACTCCCTTGTTGAAATTATTTCTTAGTGAGGCAAAGAACATGAAGTTGGAGAAAATCACTTGAACATTACGATGAAGAATCCTGGCCCCACGGCTCATTACAAAAGTCGCTTTCTTTAAGACATTATTTTCTCTTACTCTACGATAGGATTTTGTCGAGTAAATCCAATCAACCAGATTCTATTTTGCTGCAATGAAAATAAAATAAATAAAAAGGATATGGCCCCAATTGTCTAGTGGTTTAGATCATCTCTCCTTTAAGAAGGCAACGATGATTCGATTTTTCCTGAGAGTAGGGTGCTACGAAAGGAAATTGATCATGGTTGTTTGCTTCGTCACTAATGAAAGCAACCCAAACGCTAAGGAAACAAGAAGTCAAACTAGGGAATATTGTATTTTGTATTTTTCGAATTTACAATATGCAAACAAACTTCGGAAAATATGAAGCGAAAACTATGCAAAAAAGTTTTAAGGAGAGGACTGTATTTTTACTTTTCATGTGTAGAATTCAAAATTTATTGAATCTAAATTTGGAATATTTGGTGCACTAAATTTAACTTAACTGACATGCAGGCAAGATTAATCGATTGTTCACTTGAGTCAGTGCACTATTGATCAGTTATTCTTGGCTACAAATTTCGAACTGCCAAGATTTTGTTTTGTTATTACATCAGATAAATACTTGAACAGTAATATACAAGCAAGCAACTTTAATTAGTTGTCTTCTCAATCATTTTTACTACTTTTCTTGATCAGTCATAATCCATCCAAATCAAGATCTTTTTTTTTTCCTACATTTTTTCTTGATCATATGATAAAATCTTGATCTTCAAATTCACTTACCATATATTACAATTCCTCAATACATATTCTCAAGTATACTAATAAATTATTTGTCAACTTCTTCCAATCTTCAATGAAGAATCAACTCCTCTTCCAATTCCTGCAAAGAGCTTAGCAATTTCCAGTTGAGTATTTGCAATAATCTCAGTCCTTTTAAGATCCATTTCTCCTCTCTTAGCATCAGCTTCAGCTCTTATTCTCTCTAACTCTCTCATAGTCTCCATTCGAGATTGTTCCGACCTCAGTACTACTTCTGCTAACCATCTAATGCTCTCTGCTATATCCCTTTCTTCTCCTCTTCGCTTAGTCTTTCGCCCCATCTTCATCTTTAAATTTTTCGACTTCAATTTCTCCTGTCCGCTATAAGGCCCTGGTGTGCTACTATCTGTCTCCATGCGATTTTTATCCGATTCATGATCAGATAATTTGTCAGCAACTCCATCTTCCTGTTATATTTCAGTTTATATGAACTTATATAAGCAAAAATGCATCTTATAAATTTTGATAATTGGATTCTTCCCAAATTCTTGGATACACATTCAAACAGCTAAGTTGCATGGAAACGCAAATTAACACACAAGATGATATTTTTGAAGGAAAAAAAGAAAAGAAAAGAAGAAAAGCGTGACAGATAAAAATGTTGTGGAAACATTGCATAAAAATTATATCCCCTCGGTTCCATAAAAATAGACTTATTTCCATTTTTGGTTTCACATAGATTAAGAAAATGCAATTAATATAGTTGGAAATACAATTTTTTCGAATATGTTTCCTAATATACCCTACATTATTTAATGGTTTAAATAAAAATAATTAATATTTGTTGATAACAAGGAATATTAAATGAGTAATGCTATTTAGTACTACTAGTGTTTAACACTGATTTAAATGACATCACGTGCCATAAATTATACGTTCAATTAAATACAAGAATTTATAATTCGTTTATTATGACATATCACATACTTATACCTAGATGGGTGCTCTAATGTTATGGGACACATAAAAAAATGGTTTATAACTTACTATATATTTTAAAAATGTTATTTAACATCAGGAATATTAATCACTTTCTAGTCTTTTATCGTGTTGGGTGGAGCCTACAATTCAATTAATTTTCAGTTGAATCACACTATTTAAGTTAATTTTCTTTGCTGAAGAACGCAACAACCCACAAATAATAAGGCACTCTGATTATAACTTTCTGTGTATATTTGATTATAAAAAATAGTTTTCTAATTTTATTATATATAAAAAATTAGAATCTTGAAAGTTGTCAAAGAGTTTTGATTTTCAAAACGCATTAAAAACAGAAAAGTTACCAACGCAATATAAATGAAACTTTTTAGATATATATTTAAAGCGCTTCGCAATGTTAGATTAATCAATTTAAAAGAAGTTAATAAGAACAGCAACAAAAGCATATGTATGGCTACTTGCACTAACCTTGGCCAACCGATCAAGACCATTCGAACCATGTGAATTTTGCACAAGTTTTTCAGGTTGCAAAACCGTCGTTGGAGCCTGAGGTAGAGGTGGCAGTGGAGGTGACACCGGTGGTAAAGGCTGTGGCAATTCTTGCGGCTGCGATGATTCTAAAAACATCAAAGTTGGGCCGTGACAAGTTTGAGGAGACGATGAAAAAGGAGGAGGAGGAGGAGGAGGAGCATTTCCGCGGAGTAGAAGATCAAGACGAGGATAAAGCGGCCATGAGGAAGCATCAGCCGTGGCAGACTCCGACCTATACCTTTTCTTCATCGACTCAATTTTGTTCTTACACTGTGTTTGCGTCTTAAGAGACTTAGTCGAGTTTGCACGTGATGAGACATGTTTTGCAACATCTTCCCAATCTTGTCCCTTGAGTTTTGCACGGTTCCTAAGTGTCCATTTAGCTTCATAAGCTTCAAGAAGGCTTGAAACAGCTCCTTCACTCCACTCATCTCTCTTCAATCTGTCACTATTGCCACCACCAACTTGTGGCTTTCTAGGGGACTCTTCGTTGTTATTGTTAACAGAAAGGAATGAAGAAGAATTCCCATTTTTAACTTCTCTATCCATCTCTCCTCATGCTACAACAAAACTTATTAGGTTTAGCTGCCAACTTGAAAATAATACTTGAAACATTGAGATCAAGAAAGAGAGAGCCACTAGCATTTAGAGGGAGAAAATGAAAAGGGCAAGAATAAGTGGCGTTTAGAGAAAGTTAAAAAAAAAGTGTCACCACCATTAACAAGATACTATATAACTAAAGTGGGAGTGGTACCGATCAAAAAAAAGTGGGAGTGGCCAACCAAAGAAGAATAGGTGATTTTGTCAAATGTGTTAATGATAGTAATCTAACTTTTTTCTACACTTTATTGCTAGTGTTATCTTTTGTGAGTATTTGTTGGTTTTGTGCAATTGTGGGTCGTGGGCATTTTTTTGGCTATTAGCGTTGATATGAAGCCAACGATGACATCCACCGACGTGGTGGTGGTCATTCACGTGGGATTGTCACCCACTCTCTCTCTCTCTCTCGTATCATCATTCACTAGTCAAACTATTTCAATATGGATCGCAACAATGTTTTGAATAGTAATTCTTAAGTGAATGTATAATTGAAAAGTAAGAAAAAAAATTTGAATTTAACATATTTTATTATATAAATGTGTGATTGAAAAT